GTTGAATACTGTATACGGTAATAATTATACTTAAATAATTATGAAATGTCATGCCCTTGTAGTAATGTATACCATAAACTAAATCTACCATAGTTTATATGTTTAGTAGTGAATAACTCTGAATTCGTAAAAGTTATGTATTGAAAACCCCAAACTATACCTATTATAGTTTGCATGTATAGTGTAGATGATGTGAATCATCTGAAAAACTATGCAATTTTTTGTTGTAAGTTGAAAACGTCCCTTATGCTCAACATAGTACAAAAGGGATAAAATATCTAAATATTTTATACAAATATGAAAATCGTTTGTCTGTATCAAATTGCATAAGTTTTATAGTTGTTAAAAGTCCTTTTGTATTAGTTCACAAAAAGCATTTGTGTTTGGCTTGTATTCCCCCCTGAAAATGTTTAAAAATCGTAAAAGCGTAGGGGTATGAACTCACCTCGAGTGAGTGGTTTGTATGAAAGGTCGATATAAGTTGTTGAGTGTCAAGTGAAGCCTCGAACACAATTGGATCATATTTAACATGTAATAACACATATAGGAGTCAAATTAGGGTATTTCACTACTAGACATGATGGGAAACCACTCTAGGGACTTGGAAACACTTGAGCTAAGTGTCAAAACCATATGTGATTGAGCGAGGGAGGTGTACGGCCACCCTAAGGGTGTGTACGGCCATGGGTGTGCGGCCCATGAGTGTACAGCCGTACACTCATGAAGAGGTGTGCTTTTGAGGTGTTTCCAAGGTTCTAACTAGCATCCAAGAAGTGTTCTAGGTCCCAAGCTTAGTTGTAATGCAAGTTTGAGGCCTAAAATGATCTTCAAAGTGGGTTTACGGCCCTAAGAGGTGTGTACGGCCGTACAAAGGGGTGTGTGGCCGTACACCCTTCATGTTCATGCCAAATTTGTTGACTTTAAGGTGAATCAAGGCTAGGATCATGTCCAACTAGAAGATAGGGGCCAAACTCTCACTTTGGAGGGCCTTTAAGGTGTGTACGGCCAACCTTATGAAGGTGTGCGGTCGTACTCCTTCAAAGGATGAAGAACATGATGAAACTTGATGAACCAAGGCTTGAATCAAGAGGTCTTTCAAGTATAACAAGCTAAAGGATGGAATACTTACGTTTTTGAAGCCTTGGAGGGTTCATGGTTGAAGAAACTTGAGAGAGAATGAAGTAGTGTGCAACCAAGGGAAGAAAGGAATGAAGGAAGGAGGTCTACCCATATATATAGGGGTGGGTGACCCACCACCTTGAGTGTGCGGCCATGGGGGGGTGTACGGCCGTACACATGGGTGTACGGCCGTACACTCCTCCTAAAGGAGTGTATGGCCCGATTTGCTACTTTACGACTTGATAACTCATCCCTAATCTCAACCTTGGTTGTACTTAAGCTTAGAACACTTATACGAGCCCTTAAACAGTGCTAAAAGATAACAGAAACGAGTTTAACATTGATTGAAATGAATAGTTGTACAAGATAGAAGTTCCGGGTTGTCACAACTTTCTCAATATAGCAGCGTACTTTCATCAAATCATCAAACGATCACAACTGTCATACGGACTCCATTTTTGATGATCTTTATATCCACGAAATCCTATCAACGAGCTCTATAACATTATTTAATTATCTTTTGCTAAATATCATTTCTAAAAATAAAGAAACTCAAGGCTTTATCTCATTTACTCAACTCATAATATATATATATATATATATATATATATATATATATATATATATATATATATATATATATATATATATATATATATCGTAAAATAACACCTGTTACAAAAAACCAGGTGTTGCTGCTTACTTCTTTATCAGATTCTGCTTTAGGCTTGTAATCGGATTCCTTTTTGTTAGGAGTCTTCTCAAAGCTTTTGAATGTGCTTTCGTGTTTCGGGATGTTGCTTCGTCCTCCTACGTACTTGTCCTTCTTTTTATGAAAAGCTGACTTTGGATCGTCGAATGGTAGTGTCAATGGTGTCTTTGATCTGCAGGTCATATACTACTGAAACAAAAACAAAACCAAAAATGTTAAAACGAACTAAAATTAAATTAAAAAGTCCTACTGAACGATTACCACGACACGGTAATAAGTGCCACCTCGTGGTATAGCAGATAAACTAAAACAGAAAGCAAAAACGAAATAAAACCTGAAATATCAAAGCTTACGTCGTGAGTTCATTAATTCAGAAAAATTAACTAATGCTAAAAAGTAATTGTTTGCAGGTTTTACCCCACAAAAAAGATCGATTAACCTAAATAAATTAAATTAAAAACTAAAATAGTCGCTCCTCGGCAACGGCGCCAAAAACTTGATGGGCGTAAAATTATACATATTCTAGTTTTAACCAACTAATTAACTAACTAACTATTACGCCTAGCGCAATGGACCTTATCGCAAATAGTATAGCACGAATAGTCGAGTATCGATCACAGGGACCGGATTTTTTATACTAAAATAACTACTAAAAGATTAATCTAAAAGCAAGCAATAATTAAATAGGTGTTTTATCTGATTTTTCAAGTTCATAAAAACTTAAGCACTCAACTAAAACAATTTTACTCAATATATTAAAAACACTTTCGTTTAGTTTTGAATCCACCTTTTTCCTATGTTTAGTTACTATTTATGGATTAATAAAGTTGGTTACCAATTGTTATGTAATTAGCAATTTTGGTCTAATGTACTATTATTTTCACCAATTCATGTACTACTAAGTATGGCCATACACAAGCAAACACGAAATTTGATATTAATTGTAATTAAGCTATGAAAGATTTAATAAACACAATTATGGTCACAATATGTTCTCCAGCACAGTTAAGTTGGTTACTTTTATCACTTATCTAGATGTGGTCACTCCTAGCTCTAGCAATTTAATTGTCACTAAATTACTAGGTACAAGTTTCTGTAATTTAATGGTCACTAAGCTACACAGAACTTGAATTTAAGCAACAAAGTCTCAAACATTAACATGCTAGGTAATGAAAATCAAACACAAGCATAAATCCAACTTTAATAAATCCATAAAACAATAAACTAAACCATAGTTCTAAGGCTTCATCTAGCTAAACGAAAGTAACGAGTTTAGCTACTCATAGCTAAAATCAAACACATAAGTTCATGAAAAAGTGACATGATTAATGCAAACTGAATATAATGAATTGATCTTCAAATTCTCCTTCTTCAAACGATTTCTCCTTCAAAGGTAAGATTATCGTAGGTTTCTGCCCTCCAATTCGAATATCTCAGAGTATCTCTCCTCTCGAAAACTTCTTAAATCGATAATGCAAAGGAGTATTTATAATTTTCAAAAATACGTGGCTCACGTCGTGAGATAAGGGTCTCACGTCGTGAGCTAGGTGTTTATTCGTACCGGGCAAGGATTCTGATTTCCGCGTACTTATCTTCTAGAAGTTTGATCCTCACGCCGTGAGCATTGATATCTCACGTCGTGACTTTGGTTTTCGAGCTAGATTCCTCTTCTTTTAAGCTTCAATCCTCCAAAGTTCCAATGCTTGTCACTTCTAGTCCTTATTCTCGAAGATTGTTCCATTTAGCTGCAAAATACAATTTCAATCAATAAGTATCACATATTTTTGCAATTAACCAAAATATGACTTAAAATGTATTAAAATATTGCCTAAAAATATGTATAGATATGTCATTATCAATAATCATAATCATAACAATAAAAATAACAATAACAATAACAACACTAACAATAATAATAATAATAATAATAATAATAATAATAATAATAATAATTGTTATTATAATAGTAATAATAATACCAAATATAGTACATATCTAACAAGAGTGGTGTTAATTTAGGAAGTACTTTCCTATACTCGATTAAGTAAGAGACTTTATTAATTAAATATCTTACAATGGGAATGTGGTATGGCATTATGAAGACACTCATTTATATATGGATGAAATGTCAACTCGATAAGCTGAAATGAGTTGGCATTTTAGTTCAAGGGTCAATGATGTTATTGTCAGGGAACTATCTCTATCTTAACCAACACTGCTGCTACTTTTATAATCGTAGTCTTTTGAATATTTAATTTAGATGCACAAATTCACTTTTAACTTATAATGGAAAAACGGTTTCAAGAGTTCATTTTGACGGTTAACGATGTTTTTGACTTTTAAAGAAATTCTAGATCCACCAAGCTTGGGTTGTTCAAGTGGTTGGGATTTCATCAAAATAACATAGAGATATACTGAGTTTGAATCTCAAACTTGGTGTTGGAACGTAAAATGTGAGGTGTCTTAATATGGGTGTGTGCTTGGTTTTCTATAATAACTATATATAGATTGGCTTCTTCAAGTGTTGATCATTTTTATTAGAGTGGGGTAATTCTTTCACATTCTTGATTTTTATACTGATATGGTTCTGTTTATATACATACATATTAATCCATTTGAACAAGCACCGAAGATATATATCCAAGTTATTTCATGTAACTTTCTTATGCTTTTATGTGTAGGAAGAGTATTTCAATGAATTCATAACATATGATCCACGTCTGTGACCTGAACTGAAGCTTTATGGTGACACATAAAGATAATAAATGACTTCTAATAGTCTGCCAACCCTATTGATTATACCAAGTTGCTCAGATTTCATGTCGTTTAATTTGGTATTATCTTTTCCCACCCATCAAAGGGCCAATGGTCTAGCGGTATGGAGTGATCATCTCATATGAGAGGTCAGGGGTTTAAGTCTCGGTGGAGACATAGGTGGTCATTTAAGAGTAGATTAGTTAGTTTGCCGTTTAAAAAAAAAAAAAAAAAAAAATTTCTTTTCCCACCCAGATGCTTTAAGATATAATCAAGTGGACTGATTTCAACAAAAGAAAACCCTAATATCTACTGTGACTAGATTGACTTGGACTGCTTCCAGATTCCCTTTGCATGTTCTAATTGTCAACTTATTATCATATGTTGAAAGAGCTCAAAATGCTACCTTGTTGTTAATATAAGTACTCATACGTTATTAGTGCATTTTGCGCATTGTATGCTTGATATAGATGTGCAAGTAGTTCATAATTACAAGCAACTACCTGCAAATATGGTGCACATCGAGCACAACCAGATTAGCCTTTTCCTTCTAATTCTGTCGTGCTTTTTAAACCATGCATTATGCGCACACTCCATTTCATCACAAAACCAAAACATAAACATAAATAATGATATATTAATAGGCGTGGGAATCATTCTAGATATGGAGTCACCAATGGGGAAGGCCATTCACAGTTGCATTACCATGGCGATATCTGATTTTTATGCTCTTCGTCACAGCTATAAAACAAGGATAGTTATTCACACTAGGGACTCCGAGGGAGACCCAGATAAAGCTCTTTCAGCTGGTAAGCTCTCTAGTTTAGTTCTTTCAACTCTCATTTTCATATAGATATAGAATATATTAATTTATGTTTTTTTTTATTTGTTTCTTTTTACTTGCGTGAGCAGTATATAATCTGCTGAAAAAAGCGAAGGTGCAAGCTATCATAGGCCCAGAAACGCATCTTCAGTCAAAGTTATTGTCCCTGTCTGCTAATAAAGCTAAAGTTCCTATATTTTCTTTTGCTAGTCCATCCTCAAGGGAACACCCATACTTGTTCCAAATCAAACAAGACGAATCCAGTATGGCCAAAAGCATTGCTGCTCTGGTGAAATCATATAATTGGATGGATGTTATCTTTGTTCATGAGGACACGGATGATGGCATGGAGATCTTAAGGTATCTGGCCGAGTCATTCCAAGATAAAAACATCCGTATCAGTTACAGATGTACCATTTCTGCCTCAGCCACGCATGATGAAATCACCAAAGAGTTACGTAAGATCAAGACTTTTCACACAACTGTAATTATCCTACATGTGTCACCTTCACTAGCATCTAGCCTTATCATAAATGCAAAAATGTTAGGAATGGTTAGTGAAGGATATGCATGGATTTTAACTGAAAAAACAGTTGACCTCTTGCGATCAACGAACTTTACTGTCATTGAGTCATCACAAGGGGCACTAGGTTTTAGGTCGTATGTTCCACAATCAGACAGGCTTCACGATTTCTTTCACAGAAAGAACTCCACCTCAGTAACAAAAGAAGTGCCTGTGCCTGCCTTATGGGCATACGATATAATTTGGGCACTTGCCGAGTCTGTAGAGAAGGTTGGAGTCCCACATAACGGTTCTATGCTCTTACATGAAGCTTTAAAAATCAGATTTAAGGGCATAAGTGGTGATTTTCAACTTAGTGAAGGAAAAGTAATATCCAATGGATATGAGATTATGAATGCGGTCGACAATGGTGAGAGGAGAGTAGGATATTGGACGCATTCACAAGGAATCAGGAGAGCACGCCCACATATTAAGAGCGACCGTTTGTATCCTAGTCTAGGTTCTGAAGCTGTTGTCTGGCCCGGAGGGTCTACAACTGCTCCAAAAGGTTGGGTCTTTCGTGCAACTTCCAGTAAAAGGTTAAAAATCGGTGTTCTGAAGATAAAAAACTTTAAGTACTTCATGGATGTAGATCATAACGTTGAGACCAATGTTACAACTGCCACTGGATTCTCCGTAGATGTATTTAATACTTGCATTCGTGCATTACCATATGAAGTTCCATACACATTCATTTCATTTGATAATGGCACTTACGACGATCTTGTACAGAAGGTGTACAATGAGGTATATATGTTTCTTTATGTCTGCAAATTTAACATGAAACATATGATTTACTTGGAAAGACATCTAATTTTGTAGTCTATGACTTTGCTTCCGGACAGGAAATTGATGCAGTCGTGGGTGATTCAACAATCTTGGCCAACAGATCTGAGTTTGTTGACTTTACAGCAACTTATACCGACTTGGGTGTAGGAACACTAGCCAGAATCAAGAAGAAAGACATATGGTTCTGCTTGAAGCCGCTGATGAACATTCGTATATGGCTAACTGCTATTGGTTGTGTTATCCTCAATGCCTTTATTGTTTGGGGTATTGAACGTATGGATCCAGATTCCGAAGTTTCACGTGGAATCGTATCCTGGGCGTCCTTCCTATTGATCATCTTGTTTGCTCAAAGTTCTCCCTCTTTCTCTCTAAGATGCTTTTACTCACTGAAATAGAATTTACTAATCAAGATCTCACAGTGATTTGCATTTGTATTGTAGAAGAGAAGTTGTCGAGGAATCCATCAAAAATTGTAATGTTCGTTTGGTTCATCGTGGTGTTTGTCTTGTTCACGGGCTACACTGCAGTTTTTACTTCATTGTTGACAGTAGAGCAATTTGAATCGGCATCAAAGGGAGGACTTGTGGGGTTTCATGGAGGCGATTTTATGAAAGGAGTGACAGTCAACAATCTGCACTTCGAAAATTGGAAGCACAGTCCATTCTACTCATACGAGGCTTATGCTCATGCTTTATCAAAAGATGGTGATGCTGATGCCATTGTTGATGAAATTCCGTACATCAAGATGTTTCTTAGCAGGTACTCTGGTGATTATGGCTTGGTCTCCTATCGACCTATCACTGCTGGTTTTGCCTTTTGTAAGTACCCCTTCCTCTTCATGCTCAGTTTCCCCCATTATCATCGATTGCATGAAGTTCCATTTTTTAGCTTTATAGCAAAGAGTGTTCAAGATGTATAAAAAAAACACTTTAAAACATTTTTCTTAAACCATATGACAAACATAACTTTACATTTTTCTTAGTAACACGACATAGATGCGTGTTTCATATTGTAATATACGCCTATGATTGACATGTATCTTATTCAGATATTCCAAAAAGGTTCGCCGCTTGCTGAAGACGTGTCAAGAGAAATCGCCAGGATAAGATTAGACGGAACTCTAGAAAGTTTGGAGAACAAGTGGTATGAAAACCGTTTATCTCTTCCATCCAGAAATTCTACAATACCCCACGCCTTGACACTTGATAAATTTGGTGGTCTTTTTATTATTAGTGCGGGCACTTCTACTATGATCTTTATATTCTCTTTATGTTACCTAATTCGTACTAGATTCGTGATTTGATGACTAGTATATGTTTTTTACTTTTTTTATTAGTAAATGCCTTGGGGAGATGACCAAGAAATGCTAGATTTGATTTAACAGTTAGTAGGTTATTAATTGATTTTTTGTTGGATCGAATAAAATCTTGAGTTGGTTAGACTCTCTAAAACATGTATGGACTCACATCAATTGCAAAAGTTATTTGGAATAAGAATACTTGTTGGGTTAGTACAAATCATTGGAGGGAGTTTTTGTGCTCATAATCATGTTGTTTGTTTATACCATTCATGGGCGGATACAAAGAGGAATGGGGGTGAGGAGATGCCCCCCAATGACTTCAAATTTTGTCCAAGAAATATATTAAAAAAATGATGAAAATTTCGGTGCCCTCATTGAAATAAAGTGGGTGCCCTCAATAAATTAATGACAAAAGTCGAAACTTGGAATGGGCTAACTAAATTGGATTGGCTACAAAAATGATAGAAAAAAAAACCCAAATGAAATTAATTTAAACTAAGTCCAAATCCATTTCAAATATCCCATAACTTTTTGTTTTCTCATTTTTCCTTTACAGACGACGCAATAACAAAATATACAAACAAAAAAAAAATTGATGCTTCCCATTTCTTTGTCTCCCTAAGAAAATACACCATTTACACCAACAAAGATTTTTTTTTTTTTGTCTCCAACCTTTATCCACATCTTACAAGACAATAATATCACTATACCTTAATAGTTTTGTTCGCTTTGTCTTCACTTCACTCTTCTCACTTCTTCAAATCGGTAACTATTTTGCCCTAAATTTTTTATTTTTGTACTTTAATACTATAAGCAATAAAGTTCTAATTTTATGATGGTGTAAACTTATGGTTGGATTATGAACTTAGTTCATTTATTATGTCAAATGAAATACAGTGAACTTGTTTGAATATATTCTAAACTAGCTGTGAAACTCATAATTTATAAAAAAAAAGTTAAATATGAAGATCTAAATAATTGAGAACTTTGAATTTATAAGAAAATAATAAAAATAATGAATTATTAAAATTGAAATGTTTTTTATCTTTTAAATTTAAATAAAATAATTTAAATAAATAAACAAAAGAAACTAATAAACTTTAATTTAAAAATTTTGAAATTAAAAGGTAAGCTCATTAATGAAATTAATATCCATTTATTATTATATTTATTGCAATTATTATATTAAAAAAATTTTATATTATATTTAATAAAATAAGAAAACCAATCAAATGACATGTGGAAAAAATATTAATTCAAAATTACCACAAATTAATATTTGTCAAATTGAAGGAGAGCATGACATGTGGCAAAAAAATTCTTTATTTTTTAGGGATGATAGAAATATGATACACAGTGAATAATTTATGATTTATTCAATATCTAGTTTTCATTTATTGTTTGCTAGATTAGATAATTAATTGTTTTTAGGTTTTGAACAATAAGTTAATTAATTATTGTTGTGTTGTGTTGTGTAAATGTTGATTATTAACAGAAAAATGCAAAGATGCAACAATAAAGTATCACCCTCCGGTTCTACATTTTCTAAAAGGAAAACACCATCTGATTCAACAACTGCAAATGATATCGGTACTTCTGTTCTGGTTCATCAACCTACTTCTAATTTTACGCCTATTAATGTAGTTGATTTGGATGATCTTCCTAGTGATCCCTCTAAAAGACCAAGAATCTTGAGCTATAATGTTAAACAAAGAGATGAAATAAGACGTTATTACTGGCTTAAAGGACCTTGTCCCTACATGGCAAGCAGCTAAGAGGTTTTGTCCCTACATAGTTTAATCAATATGGTAAGTGGCTAGAGATCATATTGGACAACAAGTCGGTAATGATGCATTTGTCACCGAGGGCTTTGATGGTTGGAACAAATCGAAAAGACTTTTGACGCATGTTGGTGGGGTTAATAGTTTTCATGATAGAGCCTTAAAAAATGTGAAGATCTAGTGAAACAACATCAATCTATTTATGTTGCCTTTCATAAGCAAAGTGAAAGTGAAAGAAAAGAGTATCGCATCCGATTAAATGCTTCCGTTGAGGTGTGTAGACATCTACTTAATAGTGCATTACCATTTTGGGGACATGACGAGTCGGAAACGTCTTTTCATAGAGGACAATTCTTGGAAACAATAAAAGTAGTTCGAAAACTTTGTGAGGATGTTCGTAAAGTTACATTAGAAAATGCTCTAAAGAATAATCAAGTGGTTTCACCAAGTATTCAAAAAGATATTGCTTATTGCTTTTCGCAAGAAATACTTAAAGCTATCTTTCAAGAAATTGGTGATGATGTATTTTCACTATTAGTTGATGAGTCTAGTGATGTATCAAAGAAAGAACAAACGGCTGTGGTTTTGCGATAGGTTGATAAACTTGGGCTTGTTAAGGAGAGATCTGTAGGCGTTATTCATGTCATGGATAAATCTCCAAAATCTCTTAAATATTCCATAGACTCTTTATTTTCTCAATATGGATTGAGTATGAAAAAAGTAAGAGCACAACGTTATGATGGAGCAAGCAATATGCGAGGTGAGTACAATGGATTGAAAGCTTTAATTTTGAAGGATAATATTTCGGCTTTATATGTACATTGTTTTGCTCACCAACTTCAATTAGTGGTTGTGGCGATTGCAAGAAACCACACCGGTGTTGGAAATTTCTTCGATATGCTTTCCCTCGTTATGAATGTGGTTTGTCTTGCTTGTCAACAAAAAGATATGATTCGAGAAGGTTATAAAAAGAGAGTGCAAGAAGCAATTGGTAACAATGAAATTGAAACCGAGATAGGGTTAAACTAAGAGCTTTCACTTATACGAGCCAGAGATACACGATGGGGTTCTCATTATAAAACAATGCTAACTTTGGTTTCTTTATTCCCGAAGGTTCTTAATGTCCTTGAATATGTTGAAAAGCAAGGTAAAAATGGATTTTATCGGATTCAAGCACATGGTATTACTTTGTATTTCGAACATTTGATTTTGTGTTTTATTTTCACTTGATGTTGCACATTTTAGAGCTTACAAATATGTTGTCTCGAGCTCTTCAAAAAAATATCAAGAAATCCTTGAAGTGGTTTCATTGGTTCAAATGACAAAGAAAAAGTTACAAAAGTTTAGAGATGATGGATTTGAAGATCTTTTAAAGGAAGTGTATACTTTTTGTGAAAAAGTATGAAATTAAAAAAAAGTAAACATGTCGGAAAGTTATGCAAGGAACCAGAGAGAAAATACTGACATCAACAATCTACATCATTATAAAGTTGATATCTTTAACATGGTTCTTGATATGCAACTTCAAGAGTTTTGTGAACGTTTTAGCGTAAGCTCCGAATTGCTTACAAATATGGCGGCTTTGAGTCCTTGTTGCTCATTTTCTCAATTTGACGCATCAAAGTTAGTACACTTGAGTATGTCATATCCAAATGTTTTTACGGAGGTGGAAAGGAGGAATCTTGTGCAACAACTTGATTTTTATTATGATGTTGTGAAAAAAGATGCTCGGTTTTCAAAGTTGAATGGAATTGCCGACCTTTCTAGAGTTATGGTGGAAACAAGAAAACACATTTCTTATTACTTGGTGTATCGATTAGTAAAGTTGGCGTTGGTTTTTCCCGTTGCAACTGCGATGGTTGAGAGATGTTTTTCGGCTATGAAGCTTGTGAAATCGAATTTAAGTAATCGGATGGGTGATGATTTTTTGAATTCAGCTTTGAATTATGTTGTTGAAAAAGAAAATTAGCTAAGATTACAAACGAAGTTGTAATCGAACGTTTTCATAATATGGCGAGTCGTAGAGTGCAATTATAATATGTATTTGAACACTTTTTATGAAATATAACTTTGTTATCTGTATTTAAAACCGTTTTGACCCGATTCGGAAAAAAAGTTATGTGATATTTTTTTTGCCCCCAACGTTTTAAAATCTTGGATTCGCCACTGCCATTCACTTCCATTTTTTCCGACGGTTTTTTTCTGTTGTATATCTTCAAGTCATTATCATTCCACCATTGGAATGGATGATTCTATCTTTAATGGTGGATTTAGGAAAATGGAAACCTAACTTGATGAATCATGATTCTAGACCATAAATTGAGTTGTATGCTAGCTTATATTAGTTGCATTATATCTGAATATATGATTCTAGGTGTGGCTGTAAACGAACACGAACGGGGGTTTGTTCATGTTTGTTCATTTAAGTTAGTCGAACAAATGAACGAACACGAATGGATAAATGAACAAGTTTTTTTATTCATATTCGTTCGTTTAACAAATTACATTGTTCATGTTCGTTCGTTTATGTTCGTAAACATGCTAAAAAACATAAATGAACAAAGATAAACAACAATAATTAAACATATATGATCATAAATGAACATATAATATAGTAATGTAATCAAACATAATTTAGCATATATGAACATAAAAGAAACTTATATGAACGAACATAAACGAACGTAAACAAAACAACATAAACGAACGTTTATGAACATAATGGAACGAACAAAACCATTGTTCATGTTCGTTCGTTTAACTAAATGAACAAGAATTTGTGTTTATGTTCGTTCACTTATTAAATAAACGAACATAAACGAACTTCCGTCGAACGGTTCACGAACAGTTCATTGTTTAGTTCGGTTACAACCCTAGTTTGTAGGTTTATTTGGTGAGTTGTATGTCTATATGATTGATCCTTGCGATAATTCAAATTTTTTTTATTAGTATTATTACCAAATAAATTTTTTTTATTTTTATAGTATTAGTATTTCTATTATTAATTATATTTAATAAGAAAACAATAAATTACCAATAGAAATGCATTTTTATAAAATAAATCAACTTTTTTATTAGTATTATTATAAAAATAATTCTATTATTATTACTATTAGTATTAGTAATTAAATAACTATCTACTTTTATAATTAAAATAATATAATTATTTACCAAATACTTCAATTCTTCTTATTATTATAGTATTAATATTTATTTTATTAC